ATAATCACCTATGAAATTATACTAAAACAATTATTCACCTCGGGCTCGGTGATTATCGTGAATAAAAACCTCGACTTCGTCTCGGTTTTTATTCACCGATAATCACCTCGCCTTCGGCGAATAATTGTTAAATATTGTTATTCTAATGAGTTTCAAGGCCATCTTCTTCGATAGGCATGGTTAAACAGAAAAATGTTTTATCAGTTTTATGAATATTTTCTTGAGGAACATCGGAATATCAGTTATGTTTATTATAATACGGTCACAAGGGCAAGAACAAACGACAATATACTCCTGTTTAATAAAGTTGTCTGTTATGTTAGTCGCGCGATTATATATTTTTTGTTCTTACCCAATTTACAACAGGGAGCGGCCTTAAGGTGGCTCGATATAGTTATCACAAAAACACTGCTCAAGAATCGCGAACTCAAAACCGGGTGACCATTCTTACGTGCAGGTCGCGGAAACTGACTAACAAAATGAAAGAACTTCCAAAACGACCTGACGTGAGCAGTTGCTCGCGCCATCTCACGTCATTGCGCTTATTCTATAGTGTTTTATGTCAATTGCTGACGTCATTAGAATTTTCCATTTTAGAAAAACAATGCGCTATATCTCTCTATTTTGTTTGGTGACCTATGTTCAAATTTTGCATCCTGTATTGCACTGCTAGAAACTTTCATTATACAAAAAATAAAAAAATTCTTTAATGCCAAAAAATTTTTACCGAAGAATATGACATTTTCGCATTTTCCAAAAAAATGGCATTACAGAATTTTTTTATATTTTGCTAATTGTTAGCTTTTCGTCCAAGTAACATAATGCAAGAAAAAAAATTGGGGGTCACCATGCTTCTTTTCCAACTATACGAGACGATAGGCCATTTTGGAGTGAATTTCGTACACGTATGTCGTCATAGCAACGAACTATCTGCAATTAAAACTAATATAATTGAAAGTAGAGATATCAAAATATATAAAAAATCCAATATCTGCTGAATAAATCCTAAAAATGCGTAGTTTGAACATGTCAAAGTGTTGAACACCTGAATTTTTGAAAACTGTATCGAGCCACCCTAATTGAGGCAGTAACATTTAACAAGATGGTGAATATTTTCCGATAACCACCCAGTCAGAGCACAGCGCCCCAATCTCGCAAGGGTCAGTATAGACTTACAGTATAAATGTATATTATATTAATTGTATATTATAGTAAAAATATGTCGTAAAATATAAATTTTAAAATGAAATTGACTTGCCTATTTGATAGTGTGTGTTCTCCTTTTATTCCTCCTTTGTTGGAAACATGAAACATATGTTTCATGTATACTAGTAACATCGAGTACAAAGTCTCGGAAAATATTAGTCCAACAAAGGAGGAATAAAAGGAGAACACACACTATCAAATAGGCAAGTCAATTTCATTTTAAAATTTATATTTTACGACATATTTTTACTATAATATACATTAATATAATATACATTTATACTATAAGTCTATACTGACCCTTGCGAGATTGGGCCGCTTGTGGTCAGAGACGAATAATTGTTTTAGTACTTTTACACAAGTGTTTTTTGGGACTGAATTTTAATATTTTAATTTGGCTTATTTCTTTTCCCGTGATTTCCAAATAATGGCTAGTCGCATGTATACTAGTATGTATACTAGTTTTTACTGTTCCCTGTGGGGGTGAATATAATCTGGGGGTGTACGTCAAATTTTACCAATCACCACGTCGGATTTTTTATATTCACACTAATTATTCACTTGAGTAAAAATATCATTAAGAGGAGATTTTTTACAAAATCCGCGTATTGGGCGCTCAAAACCAATCAGATGCTAGAATGAGAAATTGATCGAATGAATCGGGTGATAACATGGCGGCCAGTTCATATATCGTGTGAGTACTTCACTGCTTGTTTTTACACGATAACAATTGGATTTTCATATAATTTTCTCAAATAACATAAGTATACTATGGAAACGATGTGCAAAATTCATAAACAAGATGAATTCAACGGGAATCAAAGAATTACAAGCGATGCAATGTTACACAAGGGTTTGGAAGGATTTGACTATCACAGAAGCATGGTAGGTATGCGTTTATTTTTCCTGATTTTTTCATATTTTACTGCCTCCGATCACAATAAATTATGCCATACAACATTCCATTGGTATCCTAGTTTTAAAAAACTGCATCTTGATGAGAATTAGCGTCGTTAGTCCGAAGTAAATACTGCTTAATTACAATCCGTATTTTGGTCATATCTTTGAAATTAAGTGTTCGTATTGGACTGTATAACATGTACTGTTTACATTAGGTGTATTTAGTGCAAATAATTGCACCATGTCCAAAATCTAAACACTAAATTGACTTAAAAGGTTTTTTTGTTTCTGCCTAATTAAGTTTAAATCGTACACATAAGTTATTTTAGTTTAGTGCCAAACTGATGTCCAACACTTGTAAATTACCTTGGAACTGTTTCCGATCAATCTAAGATATATTCCGACATTTGCCCTAGGTATGCTAGTTTACAAAAATCATAATTTGATTAAGTTTGAGGTGGTAGGTCGAAGGTCGTTTTTCAACATTTTTAAAATCAACCAGAATTACAGTATTCAACAACATGTATTTACTGAATAGCCCAGTATTGCTATCTGTTCATTGAATATAAAGTGAAATCTTATACTGTAAGCTGTGTAAACATAGCTCTCAGTCCATTTTATATTTCTATGGTGATTATAGATTGTTTGAACATGTTCTGTCTCTAAAATCCATTGGTTTTCATGTAGGCTAAATTTGGCCAATATGGAGTTCATGAGTCTAAACCTTTACCTTAAGTTTAATAGTTAAAATATTAAATTAACCGAGAACTGTTTCCGATCAATCTAAGATGTATTTCGGCATTTACCCTAGGTATGCTAGTTTACAAAAATCATAATTTGATTAAGTTTGAGGTGGTAGGTCGAAGGTCGTTTTTCAACATTTTTAAAATCAACCAGAATTACAGTATTCACAACATGTATTTACTGAATAAACCCAGTATTGCCATCTGTTCATTGAGTATAAAGTGAAATCTTATTCTGTAAGCTGTGTAAACATAGCTCTCAGTCCATTTTATATTTCCATGGTGATTATTTGATTGTTTGAACATGTTTTGGTTCTAAAATCCATAGGTTCTCATGTAAGCTAAATTTGGCCAATATGGAGTTCATGGGTCTGAACCTTTGCCTTAAGTTTAATGGTTAAAATTAACCGAGAACTGTTTCCGATCAATCTAAGATGTATTTCGGCATTTACCCTAGGTATGCTAGTTTACAAAAATCATAATTTGATTAAGTTTGAGGTGGTAGGTCGAAGGTCGTTTTTCGACATTTTTAAAATCAACCAGAATTACAGTATTCACAACATGTATT